AAAACATTTCATTCATTCTTCTTTGACCACCTGGCCTATCACCATGGCGGGGCCTGGGAACCTCAGCTGGCCAGCTATGGCCACAGGAAATGCTTTCATTGACAGAGCTTATTCCAATAAGTAAATGATGTGGACAGAGACAACATTTAGGAAGACAGCCAAACATGAAATTCTGGCCAATTCATTTGTTTTGAAACCCAATGCTCAATAATACAAAGAAAAATTTTAATCAAGGGTGATGGTACATGTCTGCAATCCCAGCTACTCAGGAGGCAGTGGTATGCGAATCTCAAGTTCAAAACCAGCCCAGGCAAAACGAGTGAGACTCTATCTCAGAAACAAAAAGAGTTGGAGGCATGGCTCAAAGTGATAAAGAGCTTGCCCAGCTAGCATGCTTGCGGCCTTGGGTTCAAATCTCCAGGAGACACAAACATTAATAACAATAATAATAATAAAATGTTTAAATCCTGATTGTTGCTAATAATATTGAAATGTAGTTTCAATTTAAGAACAACTTAAAATTTATGGAAATGCCCTAAGTAACCAGATGGGTTCAATAAGAATTAGATCTAAATTACACATTCTAAGGCAGCCCTACAATTCCTCTGTTTTTTTGTTCTTTTCTAACTAGTGCTTTTTACTTGACCGTGTCCACATTTGGGGATTCCTCCCCGGCCTCTATTGTAAGACCTTATTCTACTATGGATCTAAAATGGCCGTGAAAAGGTAAAATATTTGCATTTTCATTCTTAAATCTTACACGTTCACAAAAAGAAAATGTTAATGATTCTACAGGGGCCGACCTTCCCAAACTTTCTTCGGCGCATTTACCCCTGAGCCCCAGACTGAGATATCTTAAAAGACAAAATGTAGACTTCCCAAAAGAATGACGAAAAGTTTCTTCTTTGTTTTTTTCCTGTATTTGAATCTCTAAAAATACTTTTAATGTAATGAAATGTCACAGAGGTAGGTTATAGAAATCTACAAGGAATTTTTACCGCTGGGGATTTTCTTTATATGGCATTTAAATGAGCAAATAACTTATGCATGAACCAGATTTCCTCAGTTAGGTGACTACCCATGTGTTCATTCTGGTTACAAAGAGCTAGGATATAGACCCTTGTCTCTAGAAACTTCATTCCAATTAAAGTAAAAAAACAAAAAAACAAATTGTGAGTGACACTGGCTGGGAATGTGGCTGCCAGGAGGAAAGGAAGCCAAACAACTGGCAAAGCAGAGATAGCACAAAAGTATCAAAAAAGGGGAAAGAGGGTAAAAATGGGAGAAAAGTCTGTCAGAGAGAGAGAGAAGTAGAGGACTTGCAGGGCTGGAATGAACAGCAGTCCAACCGCAAGATTTGGGGCAGGAAAGAGGCAGTCCCAAGCTTAGCTGGCTGGCCACAGCACCAAAAGAGCAGTGTCATCCACGGGGGCATGGCGGCTCCTCCCTGTAATCTTTGCTACTCAGAAGGCTGAGATCTGAGGACTGAGGTTCCAAGGAGCCTGGGCAGGAAAGTCCATGAGACTCTTATCTCCAAGTAACCACCAGAAAACCAGAAGTGGAACTGGCTCAAGTGGTAGAACAATAGCCTTGAGAAAAAGAAAAATAAAAGCCTAAAGATAGTACCCCGGCCCTGAGTTCAAGCCCTTCCTGTCTGAGTGGCCCTTCCAACAAGAGGAAAATGCAGAAGCTGCCCAGATTGTAAGTCATGGGACTCCTCCCTTCTGACACGCCTGGGCTAGCCTGACACCTCCCTCCTCTACCCCTATCCTGCCACCCTGAGGGTCTCCCAAGAAGCTGGACTTGGGCTGTTTCACATGGCATCCACGCCAAGAAGCAATCAGAAGAGGTAAAATCCAGCCAGTAACAAGCAAGGACGTGGGCAGGTAGGAGTGCCAACCTGCCTCTGGTTCCATATAACTCCTGAGCAAGCACCAAAAAGGACTGACATGCCTGTAATCCCAGCTAGGAGAGATTTAAGAGGATCATCAAGCCTGAACTGAGCCACTGCAACAAATAAGTCAGCTATGGTGGTGCACTTCTGTTATACCAACTAGATTGGAGGCTGTGGTAGGAGGATCGTTCTCTAAGGCCACCTCCAGGCAACTGAAAAGTAAACTAACGCTAGTTTAAAGGGCTAAGGGTATGGCAGACTATGCTCTAGACAACAATCACTTGTTTATCCTGACCAGTGATGAGAGCAATATTAATTTCTCTGGACTCTCCCCAAAATGATCAAGCTGGCTACACTCTGACTTTGTTTAATAATGAAATGCATCTCGTATATACATTTTTCTAATTTGGGGAGCAGAGGGGAAATAACAAAATGCTGAAATAAGGATACATTTTGACCCACTGTAACAATGAGATATACAAGACACTATGTTGCAAACGAACTTTACAACTTGGGGGAGGAGTTGGGGAGGCGGGGAGGAAAGGGATGGTAGGGGAAAAACAAAGGAGGAGGTAACAATGCTCAATAGGAAATGTACTCCTTACCTTACTCATGCAACTGTACCCCCTCTGTACAGTATCTTTACAATACTATATACAAAAAGAAAAATAATGAAATGCATCTCTCTCCCCTTGCCTACAGTTCTTTGTCTATATAAATCTTAACTCACGCCTAGCCTGTAGCAGCCTAGACTACATGACCCAACACACACAGACATACACAGACAGAGACACAGACACACACAGAATGATATAATATATACCTAATTACAATAGAAAAATAATTGGTTGTAGGCAGAAGAGTCAAAGGAATGAACAGAAATAGGCAAATAGAAAAACCTAGACCAGTATTTAAAAAAAGAAGAATGAGCTGAATCAAAATGTAAATAATTTCAGACAAAAGGGATAAAATGCCAATGAAGCAACAACAAATAGAAACCGTAAGAGCCAGGCACCAGGGGTTCAAGCTGTGATACAAGCTACTCAAGAGGATAAGACTTGAAAGATACCTGTTTGAAACCAGCCCAAGCAGATATGTCTATGAGACCCCCCCCCACCCCCATCTCCAAAATAATCACTAAAAAAAGCTGGGCTGGAAGTATGGCTCAAGTGGCAGAGTGCTAGCTAAGCAAGCAAGACAAGCAAGTATGAGGTCTAAGTTCAAGCCTCAGGACCAGCAATAATAATAATTAGATAGATGACAGATGATAGATAGATAGGTAGATAGACAGATAGATAGGTAGATAGATAGACAGATACCTTAGAGAGAAGTGTGAAGAGGCATCAGGTGCACTGAGTGAGGAGGTGTGTGGAAAGCAGAGGTGCCCTTCCATATGTTTTCCTGTGGAAAGGAGAACTAACCACTAGAACATCCCCAGTGTTCTCATTGGGTGTTTGTAAGAACTTACAAAAGTTAAGGGAGACTTGAAAACCTATGCAGAATGGAATATCTGGCCAGCCTTTTCTCTTATGACGGAAGAGGTTTAAATGAGGTCTTGAAGATGTCAGAGCACAGAGAAGATGGCAAGGGAAGGTCAGGTGTGTGGATGGGCAGCAGGCCGGAGTGAGGGGTCTGCCTTAGGAGAGGGGGTGAGCAGGGAGGACTCCCGCAGAAGGGGCCCTGTGGGGCTTTCACCAGGGAGTGGCAAAAATATATTCCTCCAACAGCTTCCTACAGAGGGGCCGCTCCCCAGAGGACTGGTCCTCACCCATGAAAGCACACATGTATCAAGGTCTGCAGGCAAGTGCAAACTAAACTATTTCCCCTGCCGAAGACCAGCAAGCCACTGTGCGCGGCACAGGACGATGGCCAGAGCCATGAACCTGACTCTGGAAATATAAACTGCAGGGCAAAGGAATCACTCCAGGAGCTAATGAGCACCTCTGCCGCGCCCCACCGAGCAGACAGCACTAAACAGTGGCACTGAGCTGCGTACCCCCAAACACTGCATCAAGAAAATTACATATGTGGAAGAGACATGCATACGCAGGGAAACAGAAGTGACCATTAAGGGGGGGGGAGGGTAACAGTAGTCCAAACGGGTTGTGATGCAGGAGGGAAGGGTGACGGAGGAGTTAACACATCTTGTAAGACCTGTATCATACTTTCTTTCACTGAAACAATGTAAATATTAATAAGGAAAGGGGGTCAGGGGCAAGGACAGAAAGGGCCTTGTATTCTGAAAGCCATTTCTACGCCAGGGTACCAGCTAGATATGTAGAAGTTGACAGAAGGCAAGACTGAGGGGCAAGTTCAATAAAGAATGATGTTAGAAGTCACACACACACACACACACACACACACACACACACAGAAATGGAGGAACAAAGGGTGAACAAATGCATCAGTGGCACCAAGCATGGTGGCTCACCTCTGTAATCCTAGCTACTCAGGAGGTTGAGATCTGAAGATCTTGTTTCAAAGCCAGCTTGGGCAGGAAAGTTCATGAAAGTCTTATTTCCAATTAACCACTCCAAAACCAGAAATGGCGCTGTGGCTCAAAGTGGTAGAGTGAAAAAGCTCAGAGATAGTGCCCAGGCCCTGAGTTCAAGCCCCATGACTAAGAAAAATAAAATAAAATAAAAATGCAATAGTGATACTAGACACTATGTTAAAAATGAACTATACAACTTGTGGGTGGGGACCGGAGGGAAGAGGTGACCTTAGCCAAAAAGAAATATACTCATTACCTGACCTATGTACTGGTTACACCTCTGTACACCACTTTTATAATAATAAACATATTTAATAATTTTTCTTTAAAAGCTACATGCAGGACAGCAGTAGCTATGAAGCAGAGGCTCAGAGTTCTAATCCCTTCTGTAACTTCCCAGTAGGTGGCTTGGAATGTACTCTCTGCATTGCTGGTCAGTTTGAGCCACAGTGGAAATATTTTGTTAAAAGCCAATTTTGACTGCCAGTAAAACCATTCAGCGTGACTGTCTAGAATTCCTACTATATGAGCAAAATTCCCTCATGACTGTGTCGAGACCCCAGGCCGAGTTTGGGCTGAATCTGATGTGGCGTTGAGGGATGGGTAACTCACCAATGAAGTGGTTGTGCCCCAAGGCCAGCATCTCCTCCAACAGCACCAGGCCCCCAGGGGCCTGCAGGGGGGTCACGCTTCGCCCATCTATGAGGGAGCACTGCCGGAAGCCTGAGGCCGTGACCTTCCACAGCAAAATCAGCGAGGCCGTGGCGTCCTGCCGGATTCTGCACACAGAAGTCATAAGGCAGAAGTCCTTCTCAGAAAACCACAGCCAACTCATCCATCCAAAGAAAGCACAAAGACAACCTGTACAAAGCATGCAGAGGGCTTGCACGGTCCAATTCTCCCAGAGCCTCACGAGGTAGGTAACAAGGCCTGTTGAAATGTATTATAAATAGGCCCAAAAGTCCAGCTCGGCCACCTGTGCTACCTCACACCCTCCCTGCCCTGGCCTCCCCTGGCTTCTGGTAGTTTGCAAGAATAAAATCCAGACAACAGGAGACCATCCAAGGCCAGTTACAGCCAGGCAGTGGTGGTGCACACCTTTAACCCTAGCAACACAGGAGGCTGAGATATGAGGCTGGAAGTTCAAAGCCAGCCTAGACAGGAAAGTCTGTGAGACTCGTCTCTCCAATTAACCACCAAAAAGCCAGAAGTGAGACTATGGCTCATGTGATAGAGCATCAGCCCTGAGCAGAAAAGCTAAAGGACAGCACCCAGACCCTTTCTGTCTCTCTGTCTGTCTCTCTGTCCATCTCTGTCTCCCTGTCTCTCTATCTCTATCTGACTCTCTGTCTCTGTCTCTCTGTCTCTCTGTCTCTCGGTCTCTCTGTCTCTCTGTCTCTCTCTCTCTCTCTGTGTCACACACAGACACACATACACACACACACACACACACACACACAGAGGCCAATCATCCCATCAGGCTCTCTGTCAGCTTCAAGTCCCAGCCCCAGTGCTGCAGACACAAAGGGCTCTGTCTTTTCTCAGCCCATTGCTTTCCAAGCTCCCAGGTTTGGCTTTGCATCTTCCTTTCCACCCTGGACAGCTGGGGTTCTGCCTCAGACATTCCCCCGGCTTGCAGCTGGGACTGTAATAAAGGCTTGAGGGATGCCTGCACTGATAGTAACCCCTACCTGTGATCTGGGGCACCCACAAATCCCTCAGCATTGCCATATGACCCAGAATACATCAAATTCCATGATTTCTGTCTTGTTCCACTGCCCAGACAGTGGAGAGAGTCTGGGGCTGTGAAGGCTGGGTTCAATGGGGGTCAAATTGCTGAGGAGACACCCAGGCCTCTCCAGAGAGGCTATGTGGGTAAACATAATGTGATTTAGAGGGGAAAGGATAAAGCATGGTTCCCAAAAAGCCAGCTGGTCACTAGCTAGTTAGACTAGTGTTCATCCACACTTCCCTAGAACCAGGAGGACTCCGCCTGCCTTGGGAGCATTGAACTCTTAGGACTGGGGGCCCCCTACTGGTGGAGCGGGGCGCCTCCTCTGTCTTCTTGTAGGGATATTTGCCTTTCCTGCGTCTCTCCTGCCAGGAGAGGGGGACAGGGCCAATGTCGTAAAGTCTCCCTTACAGACATTTTCATAGTCTACTGGTTGCAAAGCAGGGTGAAAAAAAATGGCTCATATTCACGGAAGAGGCTTCTGGTGCCCGCTAGTCCTTTCAAAGAAAGCCATGCAGCCAGGCACAGGTGGCTCACACCTGTAATCCTAGCTACTCAGGAGAGCTGAGGATTGTGGTTCAAGGCCAGCCCAAGCAGAAAAGTCTGTGAAATTCTTATCTCCAATAAATTGCCACACAAAAGAGTAAAAAAAAAAAAAAGAGAGAGAGAGAGAGTCACAAGTTGAGCTGTGGCTCAAATGATAGCGCCCTAGCCTTGGGCAAAAGAAGCTCAGGGATAGTGCCCAGGCCCCGAGTTCAAGAGCCAGGGCCAAGGGGGAAAAAAGGAAGCCATGCATCCAACTGGTTAATGGGGGCCACATGTACCCAATCCTCTAAAATCCCCCAAGACTGGGTAGCAAAGGTCCCAAGGTTGTGTTCGCAGCAATGGAGGAGGGAGGGCAGTGGGGAGGCCACAGCCTCGGCACTGCGTTGTGGGCTCCAGGCTCACTCCCCAGGGGTGAGGCTGGACCCCTGCCCACCCTGTCCACAGAAGGTACCAGGTGCACAGCAGGTGCCACTCAGCCACGCCCACTCCCTCTGCCTCTTCTCTCCCCCTCCCAGAGGGTGGGGGGGGCAGTCTGCTATCCGAAAGAGCTTACATTTACAACTAAGCAAAACACTCTTAGCTGCTTGCTTTGAAAGTGAACACTGTAATAAGTAGGTTTAAAAATTGGGGGTCATTCTCATGCAAATGAATGGACCCACTGGTCCACTAAACTCTTAAGAGGCCAAGAATTTGGGAAGCACTCAGAGGCTCACACTGTAATCCCAGATACTTAGGAGGCTGAGAGCTGAGGATCAGTAATCTGAAGGCAGCCCTGGCAGAAAAGCCCATAAGACTCTTAGCTCCAATTAACTAGCAAAAAGCCATAAGCAGAGGTATGGTTCAAGTGGTAGAGCACCAGCCTTGAGTGAAAAACGCTAAGGAACAGTGCTCAGGCCCTGAGTTCAAGCCCAAGACTGGCATGTGTGTGCACACACATGCGCATACACACACACACACACACACACACACACACAATCTGGACAAGAGGCCATACGCTCCTGATCTTATCTAAGGCCTCTGTCTCTCCTCACACTGGACCCGTCCACTTTCAGTTTCCCACTGTGCAACTGCATCCTGGAAGGATCCAGGTTTTTCCAAAGTGCTCCCTGACTCCGCAGTCCTCCAGCTCTCCAGTGGCACCCGCCGATTCTACACATAACATCTGGTTGTGAATCCAGATCTGGTTGTGTTCTGGACTGGCCAGAACAGACACACAGCAGACCCCACCTAACGCCAACCTTTGCTGAAGAAAGGGTCTCACTATGTTGCCCAGGTTGGCTTCAAATCCCAAAGCTTCCTCCCTCCACTACCCCAGGCACTGCTGGGATTACAGGTGTGTGCCACCACACCCAGTAGCACACCAATTTTAACAGGTCTTCACTGGGAAATTTCTTACTTTACTGAGGTGTTCTGTGGGACTTCAAAAGATACCAGGCGGCCGCCAGCAGAGCTGTTAGAGCTGGCATTTCCACAGGCAACATCTGGAATCACCTAGAAAAAAAATAAGAAAAAGAAGGCCCATTGTTGGGTGCTCACGGCATAACATATGACACAATTCCATGCCATGGGCCCTGCGCGCACGCGTGGCGTTCAGCAGCGACGCTCTAGTCTGGCTAGAGAGAACTCTTGAGAGGCTGAGGGAAACTCAGTTTTATGAAATTCAGCTTATTTTTTCTTGAGAGCGATCTGCCAATCCCTAGAATTTGGGCAAGTGATAACAGGCTAGTTTGGAAGGGAAAGTGGGATCTCACACATGGCATGTTTCACCTGACCTTGGTCTGCTGCTGGCTGAGCTCTGCGCCCAGCTAAGGTCGGAGGCGAGCTTTACCACCTCCACCGACCCACCCATGGGGCGGGCCTCCACCCTGCCCACAAGGCAAGGGGCATTTGGTGAGGAAGAGGCGGCTGTGCTGAAGGTCCTGGCGGCCCAGCTTGTGGAAGCCACGGCACAGGGAGCTGCCCTGGTGTGCCCTGCGGGCCACACCTACATGCTTCAACTGCACTGGCGGGTACTGGAAAGGAGTTCTCAGCCAAAGCTGAGATCGGCAGACAGCACACTGCAGGCATCGAGGGCTTGTGACCCATTTACCCCCCTGCAATGAAGGCTGTCCTCACCCACAACTGTGAAAATGAAGCAGAATGAAGCACACACGCTATTGAGCAATTAACGAAGAACAGTACAGAAAGTGTCAGCAATTCCAAGCAGAATGAAGCACACACGTTATTGAGCAATTAACGAAGAACAGTACAGAAAGTGTCAGCAATTCCACCCCAGATCCAACACTTAACAATGTTATCTTCTAGGACACTCTATAGTCATAGGCTGTGGCTAACCCGCACGGATGCGCCACCTCGATAAATGTGCAACAGGTGCTTGTTGTAGTCTTTCTGTGTTATGTTGCCAAACCATCGCTATGAAAGGGAGAGACCAAAATACATTCCCACCTTCTCTGCTGCCACTTTAGCCTGCTTCTCGTATAGCCGAAGGAGTAAGAGCATGACAGGAAGATGTGACATTTCTCTCTCACATTTTCCAACTGCAGGCTGGCTTGATTTCACTAAATAGATTGACACGGCTGGGTGGAAAAGACTTTCTGTAAAGGACACTTCCTTGAGACACTTAGAATGCTTACATTCAAGAAGTGAGTCATGAAGCAAAGAGGTACTCAAAGCAGAACTTCAAGGCATTTCTTAAAAGTCTAAAATCAGACTAAGTTTCACCCATTTCTAAGTAAGCTAGAAACATTGCCCATAGCCTGAAGCTGTCCTTCATAGATTATGTTGGCACTCAGAAATGGGTCAATTGGTTAATAGCCAAGAAAATGTGGACTGCCTACTTCTTTTACAACAAATCAAGGAAATTTTAGGACATTCCTTGCACAAATACCTGTGTGTGTGTGTGTGTGAGTGTGTGTGTGTTTATTTAAGCCATGTGCTTGTAAGAGTTTGCCATGACAGGTTTACATAGAGGTTGGGTAAATGAAGTCTGCGTGATAGAATGGAATTATACTCTATCAAGTTCATCACGACATCCCTGTCCTCCATGTGAGTTGTTTCCCACTCTTCTAGCTTATAGAATCATATTTTATATCAAGTGTTAGAGGTCTTCTTAAAATCCCTCAGAATGAGACTGCTGAACAGCTTGATGACACATTGTCAATCCTGGTGGAAGAAATCTCAGCAAACACCATTCGCTATTACATAATAAATATAATGTGGAAATTTCATTTTCAAATACATGCTCAAAAGATTATAAAAATGGGTAATTGATAGGGGCAGGATCTGGTGGCTGGACTACAATCCCAGCTATCTGGAAAGACCTCCACATCCAGAAAATAAACTAGACGTGGCGGTGCATGCCTGTGATCCCAGATACTTGGAAGACCTAAGAAAGAGGACTGCAGTCTAGACTGCCCCCCCCGGGGGGGGGGGGGCAGGAAATAAAACAAGACCCAGTTGAGTCATGCCTTGTCTGAGGATGGTAGGAACTAAGGGGAAGGTGGGGGACTGAAGGGGAGAGGAAAGGGGGGCAGATACGTTAGTAACACTCAAAGGACACACGTGAACATGGAACTAAGAAACTTGAGGAGATGGATGGGGATGGGACAGAGGAGAAGGTGAGAAGGTGGAAAGGGTAGCATGATCAGGATGCATAAATGGACATGTTTAGATTAAAACCCCTTTGTACAACTCTCTGAAGGCAATGAAGATAGAGAAGGAGGAGGATCCTATCCAAAAACTAACCAAAGCAAAAAGGGACGGGGTGTGGCTCAAGTAGAATTCCTGCCAGGCAAACATCAAGCCCAGAGCTCAAATCCCAGTACTACCAAGAGGGAAAAACTCATGATACCATCCTTTCTAAATTCCATGCAAGTACTGAAAGATGAAAAAAAATAAGAAAAAAATGAAGCCTAAACAATAACAACATAACACAAACAGCTGGTCATAATTCTCGCTATGGCTTGAATGAATGTGCATATCCTTCAATCCTTCTGTGGAAGAGCTGGGCTGGAGCGCATCCAGCCTGTGCAAGGCCCCACCTGTAAGCCCTGGCCCTGGAAAAAATTAAATCCACAACTCTTATGTTGAATTTCTGGTCTTAATATGATGGTATTGGGTGACAGGACCTTGAGAAGACTTGAGAAGAGATTCCTGTCCTCAGCAAGGTCACAGCCAGAAGGGGCCATCTGTGGAGAGGTGAGCCCGCTCTGGGAGCCAGTGGCTCAGGCCTGTAATACCACTGCCCAGGAGGCTGAGATTTCAGGACTGAGGTTCAGTTAAAACCTGGGAAGGCAGATCTCCAAGTGCCCACCAAAAAGCCAGAAGTAGAGATGTACCCGCCTTGAGCAAACAGTGAGAGCCTGAGGCCCAAAGTTCAAGCCCCAGCACTCGCATTCAAAAGTGGGTGGGGAAGTTGCTCTCACCAGACACCAATATCTGCCTTGACACTGGACTTCTCAGTCTCCAGAACTGTGGGGAATAAATAGTTGTTCCTGGGGCATGAACTCAGGGCCTCCGGGCCTTGTCTCTGAGCCTCTTTGTGCTCAAGGTCTACCACTTGAGCCACAGCACCACTTCCGGCTTTTTCTGAGTAGTTTATTGGAGGTAACAGTCTCACAGACTTTCCTGCCTGGGCTGGCTTCAAACCGTGATCCTCAGTTCTCAGCCTCCTGAGTAGCTAGGATTACAAGTATGAGCCACTGGCACCTGGCTTAAATATTTGTTCTTTATAAGGTTTATAGTGTTTTCATTATAGTAGCCCAATCAGACTAAGATCTCCTCCAGGAAGGAAAATGAGATCAGCAATGTGGGGTGTCCTGTGATAAGTTCCCAAGACGACCTCATAGAAATACATGTGGAGATCATTCCAGAAAACAATTTCATCTCTCCTCTGTTTTTATTGACCCTTTTTATGTTTATCAAACCATTACAGTACACATAGCAAGAAACTTGAGACACATGACCTTGTTTCATGGGTAACTTTCAGGACTTCTAATTTTATTGGTCTTATTAGAACCACTGTCATTATTTGGCTATTTCTGGTTCCTTATTTAAAAACCCATGCTGCTCAGCACCCCATAAACAGAAAAAGCTGCAAGTGGCGCTGTGGCTCAAGTGGTAGAGCACTGGACTTAAGCTGAAGAGCACAGGGAGAGTGGCCAGGCCCAGAGTTCAAGCCCCATGACCGACAAAATAAATAAATTCACTCATTCATTAAGAAAAACCCATGCTGCACAAGGCTCTCACCTCCACTTGATCCCATCTCATTTCTACAACTTTCTGCCCCGTTTTGGGCTGCCAAGTTGGCAGTGTCACCGTTGCCTGGGAGCGGGGCAGGATGACGTCGGGCTCCTGGGTGGCGGGAACAGGCTGAAGCTGTCTGGGTGACATGGACTCTGTCCATCCAGAGGCTGGGATGCTGGGCAGCGCCTGACCACAGTGGAGGCCTTCGTAGCCCTCGTCACAAAGGCAGAGGTAGCCATCGCCGCCGCCGCCGCTGCTGCTGCTACAGTTGCCATGGAGACAAGGGCTGCTGGCACAGGGATCTGCAACAATCTGAAAGGAGACCATAATGGGTCAGTTTTTCCCTCCTAAGAAAAGTAGAATCATTGCCAGGAAATCGGGTTCCTGGGTCCACTCCCCACTCCAGGGGAGCTCACCAATTTGGGCTTCCCAGATCGCCTCCATCCTAACTCCACTACAAACTTTCAATGGGTTTCTGGAATGCATTATTTAGAAGAATTTTCCAAGACAAAAACAGTTTTTAAAAAAAAGAGGCTCACCAGGCCCAGTGGCTCACACTTGTAATCCTAGCTACTCAGGAGGCTGAGATCTGAGGATTGCAGTTCAAAGCCAGCCGGGGCAGGAAAGTCTGTGAGACTCTTATCTCCAATAAACCACCAGAAAACTAGAAGTGGCGTTGTGGTGGCTCAAGTGGTAGAGCTCTAGCCTTGAGCTGAAGAGCTGAGGGACAGTGCCCAGGACCAGAGTTCAAGCCCCACGACTGACCAAAAAAAAAAAGGAAGCTCACTAGAAAAGAACCCAAGAACCAATCAGGTTCATCAGCTGTCAGATGATGACAAATGGTATTAGAAACCTGAAGTCAAATCTCCCTCTTTGCATCTTGTGTAACTTCCTTTGCCAGATTTACTCTTGAGAATGACTTCTTGATATCTGCCCTCCTGCCAAAAAGGGGGACTTAGGCCTCCCCATTTCCTATCTGATCAGCAGCCCTCCTACCTTGATGCTATGGAATTAAAGGTTTCTCAAACCACCCACTGCCATGGCCATGGCTAGAGAAAAGAACGTGGTAAGAACTTAAGCAGAATTTTGTGAGATGTTTTTATTTTAGTTATTTCAGGGGATGATCACAGACGAATGTGACTCCCCTACACATGAAAGGTCAAAATTCAATGCTGTATCTTTGCACGGTGTCAATGCCTTCTTTGAGGATTCCACTGCTGCTCTCTGAAGGGTCACTGATTGGTACATGAGGACAAGCTACAGAACTACAGAACAACACAGAAGATCCCGCTCCTCTGCAGACCATACAGTGCTATTCAATTACAATTTGTTTCTGTGATAAAGGAATATTAGATCCGGAGCTACTATACCCTGGCTTCTCAGAGCTCATTGCAAAACAGAATTCAGAATCAATGACACAAATGAGACTTAATTCTCTTCCTGAAATGAGTTCTCACACAGGCGCTCGTGGATAGAATTCTGCATGGTAAGACGACTACTCATTCTGCTAATTATCCTTATCAAACAACTTCCAACAAATGCCTTAAGGAATAGGAAGGGATTTGGGATTGAATCAAATGAAGTCCCCAAAATACCACATTAATTCTACACATTATCACTCTGCAATTCCTTCTCAGAACCTCAGACGATGGTTTAGTCTCTGAAGACAGCATTTAAGCTATCAATAACTTAAAATATTTACAATCTATCAACTCAAAGTAAAACCTACATTTCTTCCAAGGAAGACAAAGCCAGCCTGGTCTGGCTCCTTTCCCCCTGCCAGGAACTCCCGCCCTTGAGCCTTCTCTTCCCATCTCAGGGCCTTTGCACCTGCTCACGCTGGCAGGAATGTCCTTTCAAATTCTGCATCCCTAGATCACTTTATTTCACACTCCCGGCAAGTGTCATCTCCCTGGAGATTTCCCTCGCTGAGAAATCTAAAGAAATTGCTTTCCCTTCATCTCACAAAAATACAAGCCCATAAATGAGAGACTTGCTCCACCCTGTGCTCTGTTCGATCCCCAGCATATCATGGATCGCAGTATATATGCTGGAGCTTTTTTAAAAAGTTAAGAGAAATAAATATGCATAGATTGATCAGTATTGGAAAGCAATAGCAATATATGATGAGGAAGGAATGCAAACTGCTTGGCTAGTTACTACGCTGGCTGGATTCTGGCTTACATTAAGAAGGCCTGGTGGAATGGGTGTCATCTCAGAAAGCATCTGGCAGGAAGAGGAAAGAATTAAATTAGCTAGGACGAAAGGAACAATTAAAGCTATGTTTCTGAATTCAACTTTGGAAACATCTGAGGTTGACCAAGTCACAAACAAAAATTTTAATACCTGCAATAACAAGTAGAAACACACTTCTTAAATTGCAAAGAATGGATACAAGAATTAATTCTGGAAGTCAGGCCTCCACTGAGCAGGTGGCCGAACAGCCCAAAGACCACCACACAGCTACAGAAGGGAAAGGCCATCGGGAATGAGACGCGTGGGTCCTCTCCCATGGTGGCCATATTGTCCTTACAGCAACCTGGAAGTGGAAACACTGAGGGGAAGTGGGCGTGTCCCGTAGTGATGACCGCCCCACCCCCCAGCCACTAGAGGAAGACAGACAGCTTCATTTCTGGCGTCCAACAAGAATTCTTCTGTAACACACTTGCCGCCCCATACTTGATATCAAATTCTTAACCTAGCAGAAAATTCCTGTGGTGAAGACAGAGGGAAAGGGTTAGATTCATTCAGACAACAAAAAAAGAAGTAGGGATTCAGTGTAGGCCAAGAAAGATGGTCTCAAAGGCTCTTCTGGAAGGAAGGTGTCATGGGGCCAGTGCTTGGTCCCATGGATTGAGGCTTCCTGCGTGTCAGGAACTGTGCCAGGCCTGGGAGTAAATACAAACAGCTGGAGTCACTGCCAACTCTGATCCTACAGAATCCACACCCAGAACCAAAGACAGACACTGAAGACAAACAGCACCCCTTCCAGCCACTGAATACCGCCTGCACCTTGCAGTCCATCCTCTTTGGCAGGAAATGTATCCCTGGTGATGCTGACGAAATGACTAAGCATGAGAGCCAGTCTTCACAGCCCTAAGGGGCCTGTGTGCCCTGCTCATCCCCACTCTCTAAGTCCTCTTCCTACCAGGGCCTCCCTAGCGTGGCTGCAGTCACACAGACCTCCCCACTGACCCTCCAGCGCTGCAGGCACTCCTCTGTCTCAGGGCCTTTGCACTGACTATCCCTTGGCCTGCAATGCCCTGGCTTCTCATGGCTACTGCCAGCCTTCTTGGACTCTGTCCTCGAATGCCAGACTCTGAAGAGAACCCCCCAAGTGCCCCTTGCCTCTGGTGCCTCCTCATCACCCACTGTATTCTTTTCCAAAACACCTGTCATCGTTTAACATACTGTGAGAAGAAAAAAAAACTCCTACCTCCTATCTTCTCCCACTACACGAAAAGCCTGGTGACGTTAGATCCCCTTGTTTTCTGCTTTATATACTCAAATGTCCTCTGCCCAGTGCCTAAGCTCATAGAAGCTGCTGAATGGACAACGGGGGAGGGAGGGAGGGAGGGAGGGAGGGAGGGGGCGGCCGCGGACAGTCAAGGAAACATCTACTGGAAGGAAAAGAAAAGCTAAAAGTTAAAACTGCTTATGGCACAGATTTCTAAAGCATACAAAGCAGCAGCTGATATCACACACACACGCACACACACACACACACACACGAATTTGATTGTGAAGCCATTGGTTCCTCTTAATTAATTAATTTATTTATTTTTGCCATCCCTGGTAGTATTTGAACTCAGGGCTTTGCTTTCTTGCTCAGCTGAGATTTTTACCATTTGAGCCATGCATCCAGCCTGTTTTTTGCTGGCTAGTGGGAGATGGAGTTTCACTGGTCCTTTTGCCAGGCTGGTGTTGAACTTTAATCCTACAGATTAGCCTGAGTAGCTAGGATTACAGACATAGACTACCAATGCTGGGCTTAGTTCTTGTTCTAAAGAATCATTCTACCCTGATGCATCCTTCCAGAATGGGATATTAGTTGCTTCATTAACAATGACAATATTTGCCCAGATTTATTCAAACACTTCAGACTATTTCATTAAAAATTTATGTTTCAATTCTTAATAGCAAATGTCAGATAAAATGCAAGAGTTTGCCTTTAAGCAAAATCTGGGCATCATACTTGTCTATTGTAAGTCCTATTTTTGCATACACCATTTATTGAGAGTTGGTTTTGTGGTGTTTTGTTTTTGTGGTGTTTTTTTTTTTGCTTTTGCATGTATATTTTATCTCAGAGGGGGAAAGTTTTGTAGTGAAGGTCACTACTATTCTTCAATCCCATTAAGTGCCAACTATAAGCAGGTAATTACTAAACTGCCAAAATGCATAATGAGGTTGAAATATCATAATTAATAGACCCCACTCTGGGAATTCTCAGAATTTAATAGGTGATACTTTATACCTAAATTCCTAGTTTCATTGATGAGGAAATGATTAAACCTTATAGTACCAGCTATCCTGATAAAGAGAAAAGGAGGTGTCTATGGGTCGATGGCTTTCTGCTCACAGCTACCTAACCAGCCCATTATTAAATGCTGTATGTTTGCTACATCAGACATATTTACCGACTTAAGCCACATTTTTGCATATCCCAGAACTAATTTGAAATTGTTCTTTTCACATCTGCTATATGCTTTGTACATGGGCTATCCAACCATGAAGAGCATTTACAGAGACAGCACAGAGTAAGAAGGGAGGCCAGGCAAAGATGGCTGCCAACCCTGGGACTGCTGAGTCCAGGAGATCTGCGGGGTGGCATGCGTGTCTTCCTACCTTACACATGGGCTGCCCATGCCCCAGAAAATGCCCACATCCCTCCACCATACAAGATGAAGTCTAAAAGAGGCCCATTTCTTATCATTGGATAGAAGATGGAGATAATAGCATCGCCTTGCCTGGGGATGGGAATGGGACATACCTGTGGTCGCCATGCCGGATGAAAGAATTTAGGGCTTTGTCCCCGTCTCAGTACAGCTGATTAGCAATCCCTGTGACATTCATCAAGCATCAGGGCTGCACCAGGTAGGCTGCCCAGAAGAGGATCAGGAAGGTGCCTACAGCCCAGGCTGCCCACAGAGAGAGCTGGGAGTCGATGGGAGGGTCGGGCACAGTCACCTGGCTGCCCAGCCAAGCCGTCCATGCCCCGCGCGTGCCTCACTTCTTTGCATGAAAACCATGACCATCAGTAGTGTGTCTGGGTTCAAGCCCTCCCTCCTACTGTACCTGCTGAAATAGAGAATGTGTTTGATCACTGCAGGTATGACATGGGAAGAGAATGGGAATCAGCTCTTCTAAGAACGGCAGTGGCAGCACAGCAACGCTGTGTTGCAGGAAGACATGGCTTGACGTTTCTAATGGAGCTCGATGATGAAAAGCGGAAGCCTTGGCCCAACTCTGCGCAGATGGAGGCAGCCCACCTGCTGTGGACACGCATCACTCCTGAAGAGCCGGGGTAGACCACGGTCAGGCCTCGGCCTCTCAGCGTCCAGGGGAAGTGAAACACGGGAGAGCGCACAAGCACAGGGACAGGTTACATGGCTGTTCCCGTTGGATGTGAAATGTCCTCCAGGGCTCATGTGTTGCAGGCCTGGTCCTGAGTGCGGCAGTGTTAGGTGGTGGGCCCTTTAAAAGTGGGGCCTACAATACATAAGTGGGCTAAAGACTTAAAGAGAAAGTTCTCTGAAGAAGAAATAGAATAGCCAATAGACACATGAAGAAATGCTCAACCTTTCTAGCCATATAAGAAATGCATTGATATCTCAATGCAAAACATTGAGATATCACCTCACCCCAGTTAAAATAGCTATAATCAAGAACTCTAATAACAACAGATGCTGGAGGGGATGTGGCCAGAAGAGAACCTTACTGCATTGTTGGTGGGAGTGTAAACTTGTTCAACCACTTTGGAAAGCAGTATGGAGGTTCCTCAAAAGACTCCACATAGAGCTCCCCTATGACCCAGCAATCCCACTTTTGGGCATTTACCCAAATGATCACAAACAAGACCATACTAAAGCTACCAGCACAACTATGTTTATTGCAGCCTTATTTACCATAGCTAAGATATGGGACCAACCCAGATGCCCCCAGTAAATGAATGGATCAAGAAAATGTGGTATATTTACACAATGGAATTCTATGCTTCCATCAGAAAGAATGACATTGCCCCATTTGTTAGGAAATGGAAAGACTTGGAAAAAGTTACAGTAAGTGAAGTAGGCCAGGTCCAAAGAAACATAGGTCCCATGGTTTCCCTTATTTGCAATAACTAGTATATGTTTGAGACAAGCAGAAATGGTCAGGTAAGTTGATGTTAGGTGAAATGAACCCTAAGATATATATTCAAATGTTTTTTCTTTCATGTGCTTGTTTCTAACATATTTATAAGATGATTTCTTTGTTGCTTTGTATGTCCCTCCCCCACGGTATAACCCCTGCTTTCACTGTATTTGATGGTATAATTTGTGGAGGGGAAGGGAAAAAACAAATCGTTTAAATAGGGATACAGGTGGACCCATTGCAACAATGAGACGTAAAAGTCACTACATCGAAAAACAAACTTTACAACTTTGGCGAGGGGGGGATGGGAAGGGATGGGAAAGGGAAACAAAGGAGGAGGCAACAATGCTTGATAAGAAATGTACTCATGCCGGGCGCTGGTGGCTCACGCCTGTAATCCTAGCTACTCAGGAGGCTGAGATCTGACGATCGAGGTTCAAAGCCAGCCCGGGCAGGAGAGACCGTGAGACTCCTATCTCCAATAAACCACCACCGGAAGTGGCGCTGTAGCTCAAGTGGTAGAGCGCTCGCCTTGAGCTGAAGAGCTGAGGGACAGCTCCCAGGCCCAGAGTTCAAGCCCCACGACCAACAAAAAAAAAAAAAAAGAAATGTACTCATTATCTTGCCCATGTAATTGTCACCCCTCTATACGGTATTTTCACACACACATACACACACAAAAGAAGTGGGGCCTAGTGGGAGGTTCTTAGGCCGTTAGTGATGCCACCATTGGAAGGAACGGATGTCATTCTCACGGGGCTCCCGTCAGTCTCTGTGCCAACTCACCATGATGTCATCTGCCATGGTGTGGCCTGTGGGCTAAGTCAATGTAGCCACCAAAACTGTGAGCTGAATAAACCTTTTTGCTTTGCAAAGTAACCCGTGACTGGTATTTCATTATAGTAACAGAAAACAGATGAATACATTGACTCACACCACAACCGTCACCGAGTGGACCCAGGACCCAGAGGAGCTGTGATACAGGGAGCCACAGAGGGAAATCACAAAGGAGCAATTTATGAGTAGTATTAATAAGGAGAATGCAGCGTTGTTTCAGCAACTTCAGAATCAGGGGGAAAAGGGAACTTCTAGTACATATTTTTGTATGATTTTGATATTATAAGAAAAGAGGCTGAGCCAGGTGCCGGTGGCTCACGCCTGCAATCATAGCTACTTCAGGAGGCTGAGATCTGAGGATGGTGGTTCAAAGCCAGCCCGAGCAGGAAAGTCCATGAGACTCTTATCTCCAATAAAGTACCAGAAAACCGGAAGTGGCACTGTAGCTCAAGCGGTAGAGCGCTCGCCTTGAGCTGAAGAGCACAGGGACAGCGCCCAAGCCCAGAGTTCAAGCCCCATGACCAACAAAAAAAAGAAAAAGAAAAGAGGCTGGGAGCTGGTAGCTCATGCCTGTAATCCTAGCTACTCAGGAAGCTGAGATCTGAGGATCATGGTTCAAAGTCAGCCTGGGCAGGCAAGTCTGTGAGACTCATTTCAATCACCAGAAAATGAAAAGCGGCAAGTGGTATAGCACTTGCCTTGAGCTGAAAAGCTCAGGGCCAGAGTTCAAGCCCCATGACCAACAAGAAGAAGGAGGAGGTGGAGAGAGGAGGAGGACGAGAAGGAGGAGTAGAGGAAGGAGGAAGAGGAGGAGGAGGGGAAGGAGGAGGAGGAGGAGGAGGGGAAGGAGGAGGAAGAAAAAGAAGAAGAGGAGGAGGAGGAGCCTTAAGGTAGGGTTTGTCAAGCTCAGTTCCATTAGCAGTCTAGGTTGGGCAGTTCTTTATTACAGGGGACCACTCACTACATCTCAGGACATTTCACAGTATCTCTCACCTCTACTTACATACTAATATGATCATTCCCTTCAAGTTGTGACAGCTAGAAACACTGTCAATATCCCCTTGTGTCTACCCTCAAGAGTGGCACTCTACCACTTAGGCCACACCTTCACTTCTGGCTTTTTGCTGGCTAATTGTGGGTACGAATTTCAAGGAGTTGTCTGCCTGAGGCTGGCTTACAATCTTGATCTTCGTATCTCAGCCTCCTGAGTAGTTGGGATTACAGGTGTGAGCCATTGGTACCTGGGTCCTTTCTTACTATTGTGTATCTGTGCTGGTAACAGAATTGCATTGGTGCTAAATGTCATCTTCGTGTTGGGGCCCAACTGTCATAGTATCTCTGTCTTAAAAAGGCATGTTTCCCACTTTCTTCAATAAAAATCTCAACTATTCCAACACCAACTGCTTCCCCACTCTGAGAAAAGATATGAAAAAAAATCACTATGGTATTGATGCCAGTAGTAGACTCAGCCAAGAATTCGTCCAAGAATTTTTCCAGATTCAAGTAATAAAAATACTCATTCACTTTGCTGATCCAAGAACAATGTATCTCACACATTCCTGTGTTTTGGTATTTCTTTACTTTTGTGTTAAGGACTCCATCTATTCAAGAAATTATTGCAAGACTAACCAAAGTAGTTGATTTTTTTTCCTCTCAAGTTTGAGTTAATTTTTCTTAAAACCAGCCTAGCCTGATTTCACATGTGTGTTGAATCACATCTGTAAGTAGGCTAAAAGGAGATTACAAGCCTAGCTCACACTTGTAGCTAGGAGATCAAAACCTTACCTAAACTCTCCCATGTCTAGTTGTTGCTCCTGCTTTCCCCTGGTGTCTATAAAACATGTTACATCTAGAAATTATCTTGAAATTGCAGTTCCTTGTTTAGGCTAGCTTCCACCAAAGTGCCCAACAGATTCAAAGCAGTTACAACAAAAATCATAACAGATTTCTACTGCCGTTGTGTTGGTGTTGTTGTTATATAAATTGCTCAAAATAGCCCAGACACATTTGAATAAAAACAACACAGGATGACCCAATCCATAAAGGTTCAGTAATTTCAAAGCTGCAGTAATTACAACGATGTGACAGTGTAACTGAAGGATAAACAAATATACCACCAAACAGATTTAAAAAACAAAAAACAAGAACTGGGAGAGAAAGAGGGAGGGGTGACACTGCTCAGAAGGAAATGTGCCCATTATCTGACTCATGTAACTGTAATCCTTCTGTACATCACCTTTTCAATAAATTTTTTTAAAGGAAGAATAACTACATATGAACATAATTCTGGAGCATGGTATTATAATTCATGTGATCGTGTCAATAAATTGATAGTGATAGGTGAATAATTTTTTGCACAAAAAAATTAATATTGAGTAGACTGTAGACTTAAATGTAAAGGACCAAAAGAAAAAAAAAAAAGGCTTGCTATTCAGGAAGCTGAGATCTGAAGATCACAGTTCAAAGCCAGCCCGGGCAGGAAAGTAGTCTGTGAGATTTTTATATATATTTATATACACATATATACACACACATATAAATACATATAGGTACACATATATATGTGTGTGTATATATATATATATATATATATATATATATATTCCAAGAAAACTTTATTTACACAAACAGGTGACCAATCCATAGCTTGCAGACCCTTGACGGATCATCTGGAAGCAAAAGGCAGTCCACATTGGCTGATTCGAAACCAAAGCCAGCTCCCTGGCTAGTCCTTTCAGATATTCCAGCCTGTGAGCTCTTATCTCCAATGAACCACCAGAAAACTAGAAGTGCTGCTATGGCTCAAGTAGTAGAG